ATTTACATCATCATCTTCCTCTAAACATTGTTTAACAGACAAGGCACCTGATGTACGTCAGATTTAATTTATCAATTTATGTATTGAAAATTAGCTGTGTTTATTGTAAACATGAACTGATGAACTGAAAAAATCACATTTTCATAACAACAAATTAAACCATACGCGGGTGTGGAGTTTGGGGTTCAGACAACCCTCCCCCGAAATTTGATGAGTTATAAAATGTACATACTCAGAAAACAGTAAAAAAAAAAAAAAAACCCTAATAGTCAATTTGATAGGGACAATCATACTTAATTATGAAGCTTAGGAGGTGAAGTGACCCAATCACCCCCATCCTACATGAAAACTATTAAAAATTTTAATAACATTCTGCCCAATCACTTAAACATTTGAAATTGGAAATATTCTGGCTTGATTTTTTTTTAAACATGTTTAAGTAGCAATACTTCAATGACAAACTCTTAGAAAAATTTATCTTTTATGAACCCCATTGCGCGCTCGCGCGCAATATCTTCCCTGGTAGTGATTGCCTTGAAATTTTAAAAATCCTGGTAATTAAAAATCCAGGATCCACGCCTGTGAACTACATATGACAAGACTTTTCTTTGGCTACCATTATATTTTGACCCTGGCCTTTTGCAATATTTTACCAACCTTAAACCTTGGTCACAAATTTTGAACAGTCATGCAGAGCTAAAGCTTTCAAACTTCTTTATTCCTCATAAAAAGATCTTATGTCTTTGGATGAAAATATTTTTTGTCTTTTGACTGTGGAGTTTGACTTACCAGTACCTTTAAAACTTTATCCTTGGTCAAAACTGCTTGAACAGATAGAGCTACGGCTTTTATAGTTCACTGGTGTATTCCTTGAGACAAGACCATCCCTTGGGTACCAACAATTTTAACCCTTTATAGCCTTGACCTTAGAGTTTATCATACTTAATTTTGAACAACTTTAACCTTGACAATCTTTTGAATACTCTAGTAGTTAGTGCTAAGGCTTTTACATTTCACAGATGTATTCCATGTGACAAGATCATCTTCTGGGTATCAATAATTTTGTCCTTTGAATTTAACCTTCTCTCTAGTTTTTGCTGGTCAGGCATCTTTAGGAACCATTGAATCATAATTTATTACATTTCCATCATACCCAATCTGTAAAATTACACTTATTACAGTATATTGGTATGTTATTCTCACGAATTCTTTTATTTCTGTTAATATTCGAAAAAATGTCCTTGCATTGTCAAATCTTATACTTAGTATCTACAATGCTTGTCATGAATGTCATACAAGAACCCATACTCAAAATGACTCACTCATCTCAGACACTCAGGTACAAATGAATCACACTCATCTCAGACATTCAGGTCCAAATGGCTCACACTCATCTCAGACACTCAGGTCCAAATGACTAACACTCATCTCAGACACTCAGGTCCAAATGACTAACACTCATCTCAGACACTCAGGTCCAAATGACTCATATACAACTCAGACACTCAGGTCCAAATGACTAACACTCATCTCAGACACTCAGGTCCAAATGACTCACACACATCTCAGACACTGAGGTCCAAATGACTAACACTCATCTCAGACACTCATTTCCAAATGACTAACACTCATCTCAGACACTCAGGTCCAAATGACTCACACTCATCTCAGACACTCAGGTACAAATGAATCACACTCATCTCAGACATTCAAACACTCTTCTCAGACATTCAGATCCAAATGACTAGCACTCATCTCAGACATTCAGGTCCAAATGATTAACAAACATCTCAGACACTCAGGTCCAAATGACTTACACTCATCTCAGACACTCAGGTCCAAAGGATTAACAAACATCTCAGACACTCAGGTCCAAAAGATCCACACTTATCTCAGACATTCAGGTCCAAAAATCTCACACTCATCTCAGACATTCAGGTCCAAATGTCTCACACACATCTCAGACATTCGGGTCCAAATGACTCACACTCATTTCAGACACTCAGGTCCAAATGACTAACACTCATCTCAGACATTCAGGTCCAAATGATTAACAAACATCTCAGACACTCAGGTCCAAATGACAGACACTTCCAAATGACAACACATCTCAGACACTCAGGTCCAAATGATCCACAAGGTCCATCTCAGACACTCAGGTCCAAGTGATCCACACTCATCTCAGACATTCAGGTCCAAATGTCTCACACACATCTCAGACATTCAGGTCCAAATGACTCACACTCATCTCAGACACTCAGGTCCAAATGACAAACACTCATCTCAGACACTAAGGTCCAAATTACTAACACTCATCTCAGACACTCAGGTCCAAATGACTAACACTCATCTCAGACACTCAGATCCAAATGACTAACACTCATCTCAGACACTCAGGTCCAAATGACTAACACTCATCTCAGACACTCAGGTCCAAATGACTCACATACAACTCAAACACTCAGGTCCAAATGACTCACACTCATCTCAGACACTCAGGTCCAAATGAGTCACAATCATCTCAGACATTCAGGTCCAAATGGCTCACACTCATCTCAGACACTCAGGTCCAAATGATTAACACACATCTCAGACACTCAGGTCTAAGTGATCCACACACATCTCAGACATTCAGGTCCAAATGACTCACACTCATCTCAGACACTCAGGTCCAAATGACTCACACTCATCTCAGACACTCAGGTCCAAATGACCCACAATCATCTCAGACATTCAGGTCCAAATGACTCACACTCATCTCAGACACTGAGGTCCAAATGACCCACAATCATCTCTGACACTCAGGTCCAAATGACCCACAATCATCTCTGACATTCAGGTCCAAATGACTCACACTCATCTCAGACACTCTGGTCCAATGATCCACATTCACGTCACAGATGAATTCTACTCATCTATAAATGCCCGTCATGTCATAAAATGACCCAATATATGTCAGAAACTCAGGTTTCAAATGACATATAACTCATGTTATAAATGAATGAGTATAATATCAGAAATGACCAATATACATGTCATAAATGTCCAACATTGTGTTAATTATTGACATGGATCGACAATCACGCATTTCTGCACCATCATTCTCTAACCATTAGCCCATAATGATAAACACCCACGTTTGAAGATGAAAAGTGGAAAGTCCATTTCAAAGTTTGAATTTATTTTGACATGAACTCATACCCAATATGCCATGTTCTTTAGTTACTTCTCCCATTGGTCTGTTCTGCATACAGTGCTGTATGCTAAAAAAACTCCACAAGATGTGCTTTTCATAAATTAATATTTAATATAAATTCAAAAGTGGTGATAAAATGCATAAAGAGAAAAATCAGGCGAGGTCACATTAACATGAATAAAAGAAATATTCACAATTCAGATTGCTCCTTAAATCTTTAAAAAGGTAAAAAATATGTAAATTATGATTTCACATCTTTCAAGGGTTTCTCCTTTTAAACAGATAAAAGATTTAGATAGCATTCAAAAGTATAAACTTAAAAAGTGATGCATAAATGATATGCCAAATATTTTCACTACCAAAAAAAGTATAGCAAAAAACAAAGACAATCACATAACTAAGGGTGAAACGTTTACAAAATTTTGTAAACGTTTAAACGAACAGCAGGAAACGAAACGGTACCATTTAAACGGGAGAATTTTATGTGTTGAATTTTTATGGCTACTTACTTAAGAAACACTAATTTAATATACCATTCTTTCACTATAATGTAAGTTTGAGTTGTCATTACTGTTTATTTGTTGGTTTTTATGACGAAATAGTAGGAAGTGTCAAAAACTGAAAAGAGATAGTAATAGAAAAATATAATACGATAACATTGAAGGTTCCAGTTTACGTTCAATTTTTCAAAGCTTTTATGCCGTTATAAGCATGATACTTTTTATTTTCTAATCAATAAAAAGCAACAACAGGGGTTATGTATTTTTGAACATATACTTGGAAAAATAAAATAATACATCGCTAGTTTTCACTACTCGGAAATCGGAATTAAATATGTTAGACCAGATTGGTTTCTAGAAAGTTTTCTTTAATATTAACATTCGTTCATAACGTTACTGGTATCGATTATAACAGATAAAAAAATGTTTGTAACAGATACGAAGTGTGTATTCTTTGGTAAATATGAAATAAAACAACTTGTTTGCATGAAAGGTTTTTTCTGATAGACATTGATATTAAATTAACCTTCGTGTAAACGTTTACTCAATTTGTAAACGTTTAGAGCATCTAATCGAAACGTCGCCGTTTACACGTGTAATCGTTTCGCCCTTACACATAACGAGTGAACTTTGTATCTGTGTTAAAGATTGAAATCCAGCTGAACTACAAAACGAATCATACCTATAATTAGCTTAAATTAATGTTTCTATAGTAACCTTATTAAAGTTAAAAATATTTTACATAGTTTTCTAAAGGAAGATTTTCCTATGACAAGTGAAAAAAAAAATATCAAAAAGTATTTTTAAGAATTACATCAATATACACATATTAATTTAAAATGGTCAAAGAAATAAAAAAGGGGAAAAAGAGTTAGTTACAAAGAGTGGAGAACTTTTCTTTACTTTTGTTATAAGAAAAGTTAACTACATACAATTGTACACAACAGCAGTCAGAAGTAACAATAGAAGAAAGATGTGTGTTGCCATTCAGAATCACCTGACAATAGCAGAACCAGAGCTGCCATGATGTACATGTAATAGCGATTTCTTCTAATAGCAGTAAATAAATACTGAACATACACTATGAAAAAATAAAGTTTAACTTGTAAATGTACCACTGATTATGTAAAAAAATGTATATTGACTCTGAGAAAAAACATTCAGTCATTACTGACAAATAATGACCATAGCTGCATTGTTAAATGCACTCTAACCCCCCCCCCCCCCCCCCCCCCCCCTTTCAATAAAAAATACCAATATTACTTGTAAATAAAAATTGTTTACAAAAGTATTGGTTTTAAGAAATACCAAAAATTCCTTAACACAACTAGTCTATAGAATTGCATATAAGTCTGTATTCACAACTGAAACATACATATCAAATAAAAGAAATGGATTAAGCCCCCACCCTCGTAAAATGACACTAACCTATCGCACTCTTATATATATAGCATACATTGCATGCTTCATTCAATATACCATTTATGATTCAGATCAAAGGGGGACAAATCAGTCTACCATTCACTCCATATAAGCTGAACACTTCTACTTCCATATTAACATTGCACTGAAAGACTTAATTTGCACTAATGTCGATAAGGAGACAGATCCTGCTGTGAGTGAGGTCTAATTTTTACTCTGTAGCACCTTCCTTAGAATCGCGTTCACTACGTCTAAAGTCTCATCCTCCAATATCACGATATCATATCTCCTCATGTACAACTCCAGACTCTCTTCAACCTGGCAAATGACATGAAACAAAATACAAGTTAAATCTATACTTTTCTTCTTTAAAATTATCATGCTTAACCCCCCCCCCCCCTTAAAATTTAAAGAGTGGGAAAAAATTATCTACTGAGCTGAACTGCTGATAGTTTTGAATAGTTTTGTAAAACATAAAAAAAATATTTAACTATCCAACATCTTAAATACACCTTATATTATACTTTCATGTATGTATATCATTTGAATCTGATTGGTCAAGACACATTTGTTAAAAAACACTATTACCAGCTGAATGATGAAGCCACGCCGTCCAGCGTAGCAACAGTCAATATTGATTGATGACGGGTGATATTCCAAAAAATAGCGACTGCTCAGAATTTATGCATGCATGTTTCACTGTTACAATAAATACTGCATGTAGTTGAGTGTAACATTGAAAATTTTCACCCCTCGAAAACCATTTTCAACTCAGGCACACAATGGTCTTCTTGGGGTGAAAATTTTCAATGTTACACTCAACTACATGCAATATTTATATAATACATTTTTAATACCCCTTCTATAACCTACCTTTACATTAAGAAATCCTACAGTGAGTTTATTTTTTACCCCTACAGCTCCATCAGCCATGTGAAGATCTCCAATGGAATCCCCGATTAGGACGATGTTATTACGATGTTCTAAATTCTGGAAATAATCGGAGTCGTGTATCGCCCCCTCGTTCTTATTAAACACATGAATTAGATCATCCTGGAAACCTGTCATTTGACCCTGAAAAAAAACCAGAAGTCTCTGTCGAGACTGTAGCTCTACTGGTTTATACTTAAAACAAAGGAAGAGAAAAGTACCAGTTGGGACTTGAGACTTTAAATCAGCAATAAATAGAAAAATGATCCTTGCCACTCATCAAAATAAAAACCAATGCACAGAATTATGTATCTTAGTATAGTCTACTTGTGTGCCAAGTTATACTGAAATCAGACCAAAACTGTAGGAGGAGTAGCATTTTGAAAGAATTTCACAGAAATTTCTATTTTTAGTAACCACGGCAACACCGTTCATCGAAATCAAAAACCGATGCACAGAATTATGTATTTTAGTGTAGTCTACTTGTGTGCCAAGTAATATTGAAATTGGACCAAAAATGTAGTAGGAGTAGCATTTTGAAAAAATTTCAAAGAAATTTATATTTTTAGTAACCACGGCAACACCGTTCATCGAAATCAAAAACCGATGCACAAAATTATGTATCTTAGTGTAGTCTACTTGTGTGCCAAGTTATACTGAAATCGGACCAAATCTGTAGGAGGAGTAGCATTTTGAAAGAATTTCAAAGAAATTTCTATTTTTAGTAACCAAGGCAACACCGTTCATCAAAATCAAAAACCGATGCACAGAATTATGTATCTTAGTGTAATCTACATGTGTGCCAAGTTATAAGGAAATTGGACCAAAACTGTAGGAGGAGTAGCATTTTGAAAGAATTTCAAAGAAATTTCTATTTTTAGTAACCACGGCAACACCGTTCATCGAAATCAAAAACCGATGTACAGAATTATGTATTTTAGTGTAGTCTACTTGTGTGCCAAGTAATATTGAAATTGGAAAAAAACTGTAGGAGGAGTAGCATTTTGAAAGAATTTCAAAGAAATTTCTATTTTTAGTAACCACGGCAACACCGTTCATCGAAATCAAAAACCGATGCACAAAATTATGTATCTTAGTGTAGTCTACTTGTGTGCCAAGTTATATTGAAATCAGACCAAAACTGTAGGAGGAGTAGCATTTTGAAAAATTGTTTACAGACAGACAGATGGACAGACAGACAGACAGACAGACGGACAGACAGACGGACGGACGACGGACGCATTACTATCGCATAAGCTCTTCTGGTCTCTGACCAGTAGAGCTAACCAGAAGTCTCTGTCGAGACTGTAGCTCTACTGGTTTGTACTGATCAAAAACCGATGCACAGAATTATGTATCTTAGTGTAGTCTACTTGTGTGATAAGTTATATTGAAATCAGACCAAAACTGTAGAAGGAGTAGCATTTTAAAGGAATTCCACAGAAAATTCTACTTTTAGTAACCATGGCAACACCACTCATCGAAATCAAAAACCGATGCACTATTCTATGTATCTTAGTGTAGTCTACTTGTGTGCCAAGTGATATTGAAATGAGACTAAAACTGTAGAAGGAGTAGCGTTTTAAAAAATTTCTCAGAAAATTCAATTTTTAGTAACCATGGCAACATCGTTCATCGAAATCAAAAACCGATGCATTATTTTATGTATCTTAGTGTAGTCTACTTGTGTGCCAAGTTATATTGAAATCAGACCAAAACTTTAGAAGGCGTAGCGTTTTAAAGGAATTCCTCAGAAAATTCTATTTTTAGTAACCATTGCAACACCGCTCATCGAAATCAAAAACTGATGCACTATTCTATGTATCTTAGTGTAGTCTACTTGTATGCCAAGTGATATTGAAATGAGACTAAAACTGTAGAAGGAGTAGCGTTTTAAAGGAATTTCACAGAAAATTCTATTTGTAGTAACCATGGCAACATCGTTCATCGAAATCATAAACCGATGCACTATTTTATGTATCTTAGTGTAGTCTACTTGTGTGCCAAGTTATATTGAAATCAGAACACAACTGCAGAAGGAGTAGTGTTTTAAAGGAATTTCTCAGAAAATTCTATTTTTAGTAACCAAGGCATCACCGTTCATCGAAATCAAAAACCGATGCACTATTTTATGTATCTTAGTGTAGTCAACTTGTGTGCCAAGTTATATTGAAATCAGACCAAAACTGTAGAAGGAGTAGAGTTTTAAAGGAATTACTCAGAAAATTCTATATTTAGTAACCATGGCAACACCGTTCATCGAAATCAAAAACCGATGCACTATTTTATGTATCTTAGTGTAGTCAACTTGTGTGCCAAATTATATTGAAATCAGACTAAAATTGTAGGAGGAGTAGCGTTTTGAAAAATTGTTTACAGACAGACAGACAGACAGACGGACGGACGCCGGACGCATTACTATCACATAAGCTCTTCTGGTCTCTGACCAGTAGAGCTAATTACAAACCAGAAGTCTCTGTCGAGACTGTAGCTCTACTGGTTTGTACTTATAACAAAGGATAAGAAAAGAAGCCATTGCAATCAGACCAAAACTGTAGAAGGAGTGATGTTTTAAAGGAATTTCATGGACATTTCTACTTTTAGTACTAATGGCAACATCATTCATCAAAATCAAAAACTGATGCACTATTTAATGTATCTTAGTGTAGTCTACTTGTGTGCCAAGTTAAATTGAAATCAGACCAAAACTGTAGAAGGAGTAGTGTTTTAAAGGAATTTCACAGAAAATTCTATTTTTAGTAACCACGGCAACACCATTCATCGAAATCAAAAACCGATGCACAGAATTATGTGTCTTAGTGTAGTCTACTTGTGTGCCAAGTTACATTGAAATCGGACCAAAACTGTAGGAGGAGTAGCATTTTGAAAAATTGTTTACAGACAGACAGACAGACAGACGGACGGACGACAGACACCTTACTATTGCATAAGCTCTTCTGGTCTCTGACCAGTAGAGCTGAAAATACAATTCAGAGGTCATGATCTATTTTTACATCTGTATAAAATGGAAAAAAATGATTTGAATAAAATTATATTTGAGCAAAAAATGACTACTGTAAATCACTTTATTCGCGTGAATTTTATTTTCGCGTAATTACGCGGGTCTGCCTGCTCACGAAAAATTAATTCTTGCGTATACTTGTATTATAAATGTTTATATACAAGAGAAGTCACAGCTCGCAAAAATTTTGTTTCGTTAATAAATACCAAATAGCTAACTCGCGAAAATAAGGTGTCGCGAAAATACAGTGATCTACAGTATACAGAGAACTGAAATTTCCTTTTAAAAAATTTTATAACAAAAGCTTGTTTTATTACCATTAATTATATTTTATTGACGGAATGATTTTACATACTACATGTACAAATCAAGTATAAAACAGAAAGATTCATTAAAGCAATAAAATGTTATTTGCTACTGACCTGAGCATCGTATTCCAGATAATTAGAGACGACCTTCATGTTGTCATGGAGAGTTGCCTGGTGTTTGATGACCTCAATGATGACATCACCAATCCCCGCAGAAAAGATCAGGAGAGGGATCTCATTAGCATGTAACTGGTCAAAAAACCATGTACAACCATCCCTATTAGGAAAATAACCAGAAGTCTCTGTCGAGACTGTAACTCTACTGGTATGTACTTATCAAAAACCATTGCACTATTTTATGTATCTTTGTGTAGTCTACTTGTGTGCCAACTTATTTTGAAATCAAACTAGAACTGTAGAAGGAGTAGCGTTTTTAAGGAATTTCACAGAAAATTCTATTTTTAGTAACCATGGTAACACCGTTCATCGAAATCAGAAACCGATGCACTATTCTATGTATCTTAGGGTAGTCTACTTGTGTGCCAAGTTATACTGAAATCAGACCAAAACTGTAGAAGGAGTAGCGTTTTTAAAGAATTTCACAGAAAATTCTATTTTTAGTAACCATGGCAACATCGTTCATCGAAATTAATAACCGATGCACTATTCTATGTATCTTAGTGTAGTCTACTTGTGTGCCAAGTTATATTGAAATCAGACCAAAACTGTAGAAGAAGTAGCGTTTTTAAGGAATTTCACAGAAAATTCTATTTTTAGTAACCATGGCAACATCGTTCATCGAAATTAAAAACCGATGCACTATTCTATGTATCTTAGTGTAGTCTACTTGTGTGCCAAGTTATATTGAAATCAAACTAGAACTGTAGAAGGAGTAGCGTTTTTAAGGAATTTCACAGAAAATTCTATTTATAGTAACCATGGCAACACCGTTCATCTAAATTAAAAACCGATGCACTATTCTATGTATCTTAGTGTAGCCTACTTGTGTGCCAAGTTATATTGAAATCAGACCAAAACTGCAGAAGGAGTAGCGTTTTAAAGGAATTTCACAGAAAATTCTATTTTTAGTAACCATGGCAACACCGTTCATCGAAATCAAAAACCGATGCACTATTCTATGTATCTTAGTGTAGTCTACTTGTGTGCCAAGTTATATTGAAATCAGACCAAAACTGTGGAAGGAGTAGCATTTTAAAGGAATTTCACAGAAAATTCTATTTTTAGTAACCATGGCAACACCGTTCATCGAAATCAAAAACCGATGCACTATTCTATGTATCTTAGTATAGTCTACTTGTGTGCCAAAGTATATTGAAATCACACCAAAACTGTGGAAGGAGTAGCGTTTTAAAGGAATTTCACAGAAAATTCTATTTTTAGTAACCATGGCAACACCGTTCATTGAAATTAAAAACCCATGCACTATTCTATGTATCTTAGTGTAGTCTACTTGTGTGCCAAGTTATATTGAAATCAGACTAAAATTGTAGGAGGAGTAGCGTTTTGAAAAATTGTTTACAGACAGACGGACAGACAGACGGACAGACAGACAGACAGACAGACAGACGGACGGACGCCGGACGCATTACTATCGCATAAGCTCTTCTGGTCTCTGACCAGTAGAGCTAAAAATTGGTTAGAAAAATTGTACAGCCATTATCGACAGAAAAAATAAAATGTACAGAACAAAAGCAATAGCATCAAAATGTTTGACTTTTTAAATACTTTACAACCATTTCTCACCATAAACTCTAGATTACAGTCTTCTGCCTATGTAACCTCTGTCTGGAAGTTGAATTTTCTATCATTTATCTACTGTAAATATTACCTTAGCCTGACAGTTGAGTTTTCTATTATTTGACTCCTGATTATGTTACCTTAGCCTGAAAGTTGAATTTTCTACCACTTGTCTACTGTATATGTTACCTTAGCCTGAAAGTTGAATTTTCTACCATTTCTCTACTGTAAATATTACCTTAGTCTGGCTGTTGAATTTTCTACCACTTGTCTTCTCTATATGTTACCATAGCCTGGCTGTTGAATTTTCTACCATTTATCTACTGTAAATATTACCTTAGCCTGGCTGTTGAATTTTCTATTATTTGTCTACTGTATATGTTATCTTTGCCTGAAAGTTGAATTTTCTACCATCTGTCAACTGTAAATATTATCTTGGTCTGCTTTGTTGAATTTTCTACCATTTGTCTAATGTTTATGGGTTTTTAAGCCAGACAGATGAATTTTCTACCACTTGTCTACTGATATGTTACCTTAGTTTGGCAGTTGAATTTTCCATTTGTCTAATGTTTATGGGTTTTTTTAGCCTGACAGTTGAATTTTCTACCACTTGTCTACTGATATGTTACCTTAGTTTGGCAGTTGAATTTTCCACCATTTGTCTAACATCATCTTTATTTATGTTACACTTCGCCAACAAATCATGGGCTTTTGTCCACCTGTAGATTAACAAAGATAAAATGATTTCAGTTTTAGCAACAGCCCTATTACACAATACAGTGTATACTGTTAAGAGAGTTCTAGGAAAATCTCTCATGTCACAGATATGTACAAAGTCTCACACATTACTCACCATTCCACCATAATTGGAATTTTTTCTTCCATAGTTAGTTGAGGGTTGGTCTCAATAGGAAAATAGTGATCCCTTAATGCCCTCGCCTATAATGAGAAATGGATTACTAAAGTGAGCAGTCAGTGATCTGGACAAACAAGGAGAGACATGGAAATGATGTTTCCACATAGAAAACAATATATACGGAATCTAGGAAAATATTAAGTTATTAACATGCTCCAATAGTTTTTACTGTACACATGAAATGAAGTTTTAGATGAGGAAATTAAATTGACAAATGATCAGTAATTGTCAGTATGATTCCACTCATCAAATTTAGTATCATTGAATTTAGATTGTAAATAATATATTTACTGCTTGACTGTCCCAGTGACTTGTTTTACAAGACTTAAGACAGTCGCCCCATTATCTGAGGTATGTTCTATTGAGTTAATACATACTGACCTCTTCTTTATAGAAATCTGGCAAAACATGTCCCTCTTCTAGAACATCTGAAAATACAATTACATGGCAGGTTAAATGATTTACATATCTACATCATTAAAGTAGTCTACAAATTTTTAACTTTCTATTTTTAATGAATATAAAGAAAAAAAAATTATAAGTTTGAATGACTTTTTTTTAAAGTATGGTACCTGGATACCAAATATATTTAATATGGTTACTTACAGCTTAATTTTACTGAAAATTTTATCCTTGCATTTGAAACTAGAGTGTTTATAAACCTACAATATTATCTACAATTTTTCAGCACCATTATACTATATTGTAATGAAATTAAAACAATATACACATTCTCGTATCAAGAATTTTAGTATTCTGTGATGTGCTGACTGAAATGACCTGGGAGTTAGTTCAAAATCATACAACAAATGTTGACAAAACACCATGCACTATTTAAGAAATATGACTTTAACTCTGCAAACTTTGCCATAGATATAGTTTAAAATGTCACCCACTTTATAAGAAACAATGGAATGGTAAATATACATATACATATATACAGCTAATGTTAAAATTGGATTAATAGACCAAAAGGAACATGGGATTAGATACTGTACACAGGAAAAATTTTCCCCCGTTTTATTTTCACCCCTTTGGCCCTACCCTCATTTGGCCAAATTTAAAATGGTGCGAATTCAAAGAATAATGTATATTTTCTTAAAAATAACTATGACTGCGTGAATATAAAATGGGGCAAAATTGTTTTTAAGTGTAAAAGGGTGAAAATAACATGGGACGAAAATAACCCTGTATACAGTAGTATGGATTGCCAGTTTGAATTAAATGAATTCATTGAAAAATAGAGGAAATTCAAGGGATCTCTATCAAATCTCAAAATTTTATCTGATAAAAAAGAAGCACACTATCCTCACAGTCAGACCTAATTTATACACCTTCCCCCCAAGTCAGTAGGGGACTACAATGGGGGGAGAATGTTTGTATAAATCACATCACCCTGTGAGGTTTCACATACTATGACAAGTCGAGCAGATTTGGCCTCGGTATGTGTATTTGGACAGAGTTCTATCAAAGTCGGCTACCACCTGAAAGTAAGGAAAAGACATGAAACTGGACATTAACAACACAAAAACTAAACTAGTGAGGTGCCTTTAGGACAGTACTGTAGGTCTATGATGCTTGGTGTAGATATGCTTCAAAGTCAACAAGTTTAGTTTAATAAATTTGTATCACACGTAAAACTTTTTTTTGTCAACACATCCTTTCATGATCATGATGATGTGAAGAATTCTGGGTATGATATGTCATTCAATCTTGAATGAAAAGTTACAGAACTGAATTCTACATGTACCTGCATCAAAAAAATACAGTACTGTCACGTGTTAATGAACTGTATGGTTAGTGATTTACCCTAGCGCCCGTGTCTGTAGTTTGTGTGCTTCATACACTCAGAGATACAAATAAACTGTGCAGAGTCTGTATTCCTATGAGATCATTTGTACTACTTTGCATTTAACAGTAAATATTTCATATTCAATTTTACCGTTTTATTAATCTGGCTGAGGTATGAAACAACAAACTCTTCCACATATACATCTGGGCTGTGCAAGGGGAGATCATCTCTACTTACTATGAGTGCCAGCACACTGTGTGCCATTTTCTTTGAATTTCGTCAAAGTGAAATCAAAATCAGCTGTCACCTGATACAATAAAGCAATTTCTTATAGTCTTATACAGAGTCATAAAAATGGTCCTTCCATTCTCCCTTCTTTTCCACTGTAACATTTTAACAGTTACAATATGGTTTAACAATGTCAAACAAGACTAAAAAAATTGATCAGTAAAACCCTATGAAGGATAAAACATACCTGTAACTTGTCATGGCCATCTTTGATCATATTCTGAATCACTTCTGTGACATGATCAGGACGAGCTATCTTCACATGGGGTAACTTGAGCTCTGGTATCTGAAATCAAAATGATGCTCATGATTACTTCTAATAAGCTTGATAGGTGCCAAACACTACATGTGCATGTATCTTTAACAGAAAGTCAAATCAAGTTTTGTTTGGCTAATGTTAAGCAATATATATGGCAAATATTCACCACTGTATGCAAGATAGTATAAGTACAAACAGCTAAAACTCAGTCTCACAAGGAAATAATCTGAACTGATATTTATTGTTGAGTAATTCATGGCTAATTGTTCAATAATTTCCCTAGAAATTAAGCAGCTTTAAGATGATATACAACTCTATTCCACGTCAGGTGTTAAAAATATAATTGATTTACATTTGTTTTTCTATAAACATGAGAAAATAGTCTGTCCCTTTTTTAACCTGAAAGCAGGTGTCTGCTTACACAAACTTAGGAATGAATGACTACAAATATATGTACTGATATAATGTCACTATATTGCTCGACTGCATGTGGAATTTTTTGTACAGTTTACGTTTAGCATGAGGTTCTCATTTTGCTGACCATTCTTAATTTTTTTTAGGCCACATGTATTTACATTCATGAATGTATCCTGAAGTTACTCATTAAATTGTATTTAATCAACAGAAATCTACACTCCCTCCCCCGACCTAAAAGTTGATCCTGCAATAAGTACAAAGCCAGAGGCACTTCATTGGTAAAATTTCATTGATAATCCCTCTAGATCTATATATTTAAAATTTGTAAGATTATACAAGATACAAATAAACTAATTAAATGAACATCTGTCTAAGGATATTAATATGGCTTATGCAATGTTATGTTAAACTAGTGCTAATTGTAACGGGAACCGTTACAGATGTTCCCCAAACGCTCCCCAACTCCCTTTTCGTGCCATATTCCATGTAAGCCTTATTAAATAAGACAACATCTTTGCATTTTTGACTTTAACAACGTTTTCCCAAAAGGATACCAATTATATTCAAATTTTAACATTGTACCCGTGCGCATGTGAATGCACGTGCGTGCTTATCATTTAATCATGCCTACACTTTCTATATCTTTAAATATACTTTATATTAAAGCATTTAGTCCAAAAGTATTAAGAATCACTAATTCAAGTGTATTTTTAATTTCACTCGTTCCAAATGCACGCATGTGCGTGCACTGCATGATGACCATACCTTCTTGTAGGAGGCCCTTATATCTATCTATGTTCTAAATCCCATCCTGTTTGGTTGAAAACCAAGGAAATTATAGCCATTTCAAGTTTCAGCCAATCAGATTGCAGCACACGTGCATCCACGTGATTTCAAGAATTTTTTTCTAAATCATAGTGTAGAATATCCTAATGAATGACTATGTTTTAAGTTTCAAAGCATTTCGTCAAAAAACAAAGGAGATATAGCCATTTAAAGTTTCAGCCAATCAGATTGCAGCACAAGTGCATGCACGTGATTTCATGAATTTTTTTGTATATCATATTGCAGGATATCCTAATGCATGACTATGTTTTAAATTTCAAAGCATTTCGTCAAAAAACAAAGGAGATATAGCCATTTAAAGTTTCAGCCAGTCAGATTGCAGCGCACGTGCATGCGCTTGATTTCATGAAATTCTTTCATATTATATTGTAGGATATCCTAATTCATGACAATGTTTAAAATTTCAAAGCATTTCGTCGAAAAACAAAAGAGATATTGAGATTTTTGTTTCAGCCAATCAGAGCAAGGCGCACGTGCATGCGCGTGAGTTCGTGCTAATTTGACAGTGTCATATTATTAACACTATTAATATATCCTTATGTAATGAGTTTCAAAGTATTTCATCGAAAAATGTAAAAGTTATAGCTATATTAAGTATATCAGCCAATTCACTCATTTCACGCGCACGCACGTGCATGCGTATGCGCGCAAAATGACCTTCGTTCCGCACACCTACACTACACAACTATTAACCCTAAAAAGGTTTCAGCTCAGTTGGGTGAACAGTTTCTGAGAACACTCGCGGACAAAAAAGTACCGGAGAACAAATAAGAAAAAAAATAATAATAATAAGAAACAGAGTAAAAACAATATGTTCCCAAACTCCGTTTGGGGAACATAATTACTGAAGTAACATTAACCATGTTAACAATGTAGTAATAAGTATGATAAGAATATGTCCTGTTACCACTTGTTTATTAAGTTTATCAAGCACTGAACGACACATTTTTCTCCCAAGTTTTAACATTAAATAAAACTTGAAGCAAATTTATTTATTCCAGTTTGTGGGTAAATAAACATGTAAACAATTCACGGGTCACATGCAATAAATTCACTGACTGTGTCTGTAGATTTAACAAGTTAAAATAAAATATGAGAAGAAATCAAAACTAAGTCTAACGTTATATCACTATACTGAACTCTACTGTACAGTACTATTAGGCCTAGTCTGCGTAATAATCATGATAATATGACATAAAAAATTTTATATACACCAATAGATTTCAAAAAGCTAAATGACCTGAACTTACTATCTATCGAAGGAGAAACTATGAGAAATGAAAAAGAAAACGAAAGAACTCGTGCCTTTGTGCCTACCGATCAAGTTTTACTTTACTCTTTAGACTCAAATATCAAGATCTGATTACTTCTAGAAAACTACATGTATCCCAGGATATATATACATTTTACAACTTATGAGAAAAACACAAAATATGAAATTTTCATCATGAAGGTAAACCCGGACTAGATAAATAAGGTAGGTAGCATGGTATTACATTTCACTTTTCATCTTTCCTGGAACTCTGGTCAATATAAAATTGAAACATTGGGCCTCTGTTGTTTCCTTTTCATTAACTGCCGAAAGAAAAAGAACACAAGACACTGAAATAAACGCCCTCCCTAACAACTTTAACATCAAAATAAAAACAAAATCTTACATCACTCATTTCTGCAAGTTCTGTCCTCCAGACGATCTCCGACGATCTCTTGATCAATAAGAAAATGGGAACCAGTTTTAGAGGGAATGCCTAATTGAAGACCTACAGGTGAATGCTGGACAACTCGCCCCCAAGACAAGTCGCCCCCAAGACAACTCGCCACCCTCTCAAGACAACTCGCCCCCAATTTAGGACAACTCGCCCCCTGTTAAGACAACTCGCCCCCAGGTTAAGACAACTCGCCCCCAGCTTTAGGAAAGCAAATTGGGGGCGATATTTTTTATATAAATGTATATATTTTTTTATTAAATATATTTAAATATATATATTTTTATATTATTTCGATATTTATTTTTATTTTAAGTGTTTCTGGCGTTAGTTACGCTCAAAAATTGTACTCCTCTTCTCACGTGAGGTGCCTGAAACAGAAATTCATCAATATTTGCATTTATGCGGTCATTATGCCTATATAACTTTGCGCTTAAAAAAGGAGAAGATACGATTAATATAATTTTTTTATGAAAATTTTTATTTTTTATATAATTTTAAATATATTTTTTTCTACTTAATTATCTTATTACAGATGACAGATTCCAGTCATTTCTTCCTTATATAGGGACCATGTCAAATTATTTGTTTTCAACTCAAGCTTTCTTGAATTCTTCATCACTTTAAAGTTTTAAGTTGCTTCGGAGCTTGGATACACCAATTTTTTTTTTATCAACTTACTGTATATACGTAATTTTCGAGGCTTGCATGCTCTAATTCTTCATTACTTTAAATATATATGCTTTGGAGCTTGGACAAGCCAATTTTTTAACAACTAAATATACATAATTTTCGGGGCTTGGTTGTCCTAATTGATCATCACTTTGAAGTTCCAAATTACTTGTGAGCTTGGGGATTTCATTAAAATTCTGTCTGCTGTTTTCATTTCAGTTTTCATAAGTTCCCTAAAAGCCGTCGTCAATGGAATATCATTGATATGTCATTAAATAATTAAGATTGTTCAACTTAGAACATTGTACTTGATTTACCTAGACATATTCTACAGATATAAATTTAAAACAATATGAAAAATTAAAACGCATTTATTTGCTTTATCTCGTAAGAAAAAAGTCTAAGGAAATAATAAATATTTTAAACATATACTGTGTTCACTAAATATATATGAAAAAACCCAAACAAATAACAACATATTACACACACAATCGTAAATATTAATTTTATTTTACCTATAATAAATATCAATTATAAATCATGGATTAATCTTGCATTTAAAATGAATTTTATTGAATAATATATATCGTTTTTTTCCTTGCAATACACAGTAAAATACAATGGGGGCGAGTTGTCTCTACAGTGGGGGCGAGCTGTCTTGAGTGGGGGCGAGTTGTCCTAAATTGGGGGCGAGTTGTCTTAATAGGTGTTGGGGGCGAGTTGTCTTGGGGGCGAGTTGTCCTGATTCCCTACAGGTAATTGAAGACCTACAGAAGACCTACGGAAGACCTACAAAAATGGGGGATATATACAGCAAAACTGATATAATATTCTGATTAAGCATGCTCTAAATATATAAAATACACAAAAAAAATTTATAAAAAGAAGTTTTAAAGTGTATTTTTTAAGCTCGGTAAGGGGAACTATTTCTTCTCTCAGAAGACCTACAGCAAGAACGATAACTCGCGTAAATAACAAATCAGCTGTTCACCAAAACATATCAAGAAAATGTAATTATCAGAAAAATGTAAATAAAAAATAATGTTAAAGGACGAAAAAAAATCATTGGAGATACTTTATATATACATACATCAAAGATTAAAAAAATAATAATAATAAAATGCAATATTCAGTCAGAAACAATTCTATTTTGTTAAAAAAAAATAGTATTTAAAATCAGTAAAATTTTAAACACTGTATATAATTTATAATACCATTATATATTATGTCAATCATAAAATCATTATAAATACATACACTTGTATATACGTTATATTTAGTATTTTATATGTGTTTATAAATAGATCAGTATAATATTTAGTTCAGGTTTGAACTGTTGATCATTAATAAAAATTCATAAATGATTTGTGTTCTTGTTATTAATAA